GAAAAAAATTGTGTTCAAATGCCCCAACCATCCTAAAGCTTGTATTCTGCTTGAAAGATTTGGCACCTCCTTTTCAATTCCCCACCCCAGCCTGGAAAGGTTCAAATTCCTCACCCCCATGGGCACAGTTAAATGCCCATGGCTTGCCTGGGGAGGGGGATATTAAAGCTTTGAATTGAATAGGACACTGTATGTGAACATTTCCCATAAAGCTGTTGGGTCTCATCATTCATAGAACATGCTATTCAGGTGCCAATTTTTTTGCAGTTCAGTGTATGTTTTTGTATATATTTAGCATTTGCCATGTCACCAGTATTTTCTAAAGGTAAAGTAAGTATTGATGAAAAATTTGGCAGACAAGGCTGTAGCATTTATTATTAACGTGAAAGTATTTTCCCATAGGGCTTTTATTCAAAGGTTGAACTTATTTAAAAAAATCACATTTATTAAATCCCTGTCAACAATAATGTAAATATCATGTTGAATAAGAACATGTTTTAAATTCCAATGTTTCACTTTCTTTGTTATGGTAGATATGTATTTACTTGTTGCTGGCTTGTGACATTCGCTACTATACAATTTCAGTATTAACGGTCTTAGCCTGTGTGGCCGGCATACAAAAGTGAACAGAGCAGGGGGACGTTTCTGTAAGCTCGAAGCGCCATCGTAATGATTTTTGAGGCAACTAGATCCTCGCGATTGCACTCTATGCGCGCCTAAGCATCCCCCACTCAACCTTTCTTCGCCGGCTATGATCAACTTGACATAGGATTGTCATGAATATCATAACAATAACCAAGGGTAACTGTGTAATGAGGATGTTTTTGGGCATGGTATTTTTTTTTCCACCTAGGACTGCAAAAAATCTGCAACCTTACCTTCCCAAGTCACACTGTACATTGATATGTTCAAGAAAATCAGGAAGCGAAGACAATGCTTAAGCTGCAAAGATAACCTAACCATGATTGAAATTCTCAGAAAGAGACCCCTAGATACCCCTCTGCTCTAATATTCAAGTCAAATACAACCGATCTTATCCACTGTTAGAAGTCAAACAGTTTATTCGAGTTTCCATGCGCTGCAGAGTTTTTGACCAATTGATGCTGTGAGTTAATAATTCGATAAAGGAGCAAGTGTAAAAAGGGAATCAGTATAATATACTCAAAACCAACACGTTAAGAACACAATTTAACTCACAGCGAAAATGCGCGGGATCTTCTGTATGCATTGAACCTATGAGGAAAAATGTCCCTTTCTCAATTATTCTCTTGGCTTAGTAAGCGTATTAATATTTGACACTGGAAGTCAACATATATACATTAAGATGTAGAAAGGAAGCCATCCTAGATCATCTCCAACTCTCTGATGTAACGGTCTCAATATATATACCAATTAGGGCTCTTGACTGAGGAGTTAACAGAAAACTTGAAGTTCGAGACCGCGGGAGAATGACGTCCTCGTTCGATTATCACGTGATCATTGTTGATTTAGTTTCCAATAATGATCACTTATGATGAGTGTGCTTGATAGAAAAAACATCACAATGGTAAACGGCGTAATCGGACCAAAAATGGGACAGAGATGGTCTGGAGTGGAGGAGATTGTCATAGATTGGGAAACAGTCTACTTGACAAATGTTTCAAGATGTACGAAGTCTGTTTTCTTTGAATGCGCGAAAAAGTCGTGCACTTTAGCATACCCTTGCAAATTAATGCGTCATGGTCAATTGGATTTTTGATGGTCAGTTCCGCGACATATTGTTTCTTATAACCTCGTGTAAATCACGAGACAAGACCTCTTATTTGCGAGTTTTATAATTAGTCACATAAGTAAGCTTCCTTGAAAACAAATCTGCTCACAATTGTTTTAGCTACCGACAAGTTAGATCACTGCATCCTCCCGAGCACTTGACTGTGGGATGAAACAAGGTAATTAGTACTTCCAAATTTTTGGCTATTTTGATTTTTGTACTCAACAAAACTTCCTTTATTTAAAAGGACACTGCACATTTTAGTTCGGAAAGATAGAACAACACAAGAACTAGTGGATAAACAAAGAATAAGCAACTTGGCAAAGGGTTCCAACGGTTAAGGATAACTAAGGTTATTTATGATTTGAACGGAGTGCAAAAGACAACTTGAAATATTTGGGCTATGTTTTTATTCGAGAGTGGTACCGTTATTTCAAAAGCACATCTCCGGACCCTTTCACCCCCAAGATCTCATAAGTAATTCTCCTTACTTTCTACCATACAATCTTATGATATTCAGTCTGAGAATTTGGTATTGGATCAACTGTCTATCCCTAACTGATATTTTTCTTTATTCTCATCACTTATCTTCTTGATATTGTATTGAAGTTGTCCTGGTCACTCATAGAAGTGAAAGAGTCAAATCAGTTATATAAACCAAGTTTCGAACTCTTTCTTCAAACGATTTGGGTGGTTTATGCGTGACCACAATCCGGCTTACTTCTCATCACGCCTTTAGAAAAACAAGTTAAAAAGCATAGAGAAAATAGTTTTTTCCAGCCAAAATTCTCAGAATTGTTATGTAAATATTGGCAGCTTGAATTACATAACCTGAATAAAGGTTAGTTTATTACTCATCAAGTACAAGACGATTATGCTCATACGGATAAATATATATTTTTGATAATTTTAAAAACGGCAGTGCCATATGCTTTTTCAGTAATCGCAGAGCTAATTTAATTTTCACTTGTGTTTCGATCCAAAGGCCTTGTTATTATCGAATCGAAAGAACACACTTCGATAACTGCCTCCAAAAAAATAAATGATGTAATGTTTAAATATAGATAAAAAAGATACTTTCTTTACTTAGTCCAATGAGGTCTCGTGGTTAGCCGGGCCATGTTATCCGAGCTTCGCTAATTAAAGATATTAATTATTATGAGGACTTGACTTTGATGGCACAATATCTTTAAAAGGTTTTACTTAGAGCTTTCCTCTTCGATTTATCAATTTTGGCGCAAGAAGTAGGGAGGCATCTAAATGTTTTTCTTTTCTTTAGGTAGATTTTTTCCGAATAATGACAACAAGAGCACCCTATTGTCTTCAAAGAATGAGATGTAGAAATTATCATTTTTATTGTACTGTTTGACGAACTGTAGCAGTTTTTAGCATAACTACTTCCCAGTCTCTCTCTTTCTCTTCGTGCTCCTTCCCATTTGGAATATCCATCCACAATAATGAAACTATCTTCCGCAAATTCAACGTCTCTCTGAAGCATAAATGAAGGATCTATTCAATTTAAGTAAAAAAAAAGACTTGTTAAAGTTTACCACAAAGACGGCGAGTACCTGATTTTTGAAATATGGAAGACCAATTCCGCAAGTTAAGCTCTACAACAAACTATCGAAAAAAAAGTCTTGACAAAAATAAATTTAATTCAACAAGAAAAATCGTATGGGACATTTTTGTCATTGCACAAGGACTCAGAACTTGAAAGGAACTCATAATTGAATAGATTACCAGTAATACTTAACGGAAATTTAAGTCGAGGTTGCTGAAAAATTTTTTGATGCGGATGTTGTAATATTGACTTTGTGGTATGTTGTATTGCTTGAGAGGTGAGCGAGGCAATTAAATCTTTTCACGTTAAAATTTAGAAGATAGAACGTGTCATATGATACTCCTCTCGAAAATGTTATCAAATTACCATATAAATGATAGTTTTAAGCTCCCATTGGGTTTTGAAAGCTTGTAAATCGTAACATTTCCATAAATAAAACTGATCGAAATGACTCCCTGATAGAATGTCACGTTTTCTTATATTCTGTCTAATTTGTTTCTCAAAGACTGATTAAGCATTAAAACAGAAAAGGAAAAGGCTTAGCTTGAAACAAAATTGAGATTTCCGATTTCTTCATCAAAATTTGCTGTTCGTGAACAAATAATAGGAAATGACGTAACCTGAGCATTCATCATGTTCTAATTAGTAGGAGATAAACAAACATTTTTTAGAAATTTCATAAGAGCTTTTTAAATCCCATTGGGAAAAAAGCCTCAATGAAGAACTGTGTATGGCGTATTTAGAGCAAGTGACACAATGTTGTCGAATATTGATTAGAAATCGGTTGGCACTCAAAAGACTCATGAGCTTGAAGAAGTCTAAGAACGCTTCTTCTCTTCGTACTACGTGAATTGCCAGAATTTATACAGACTTCGCACTAAAAAGAATATTTCCTTTTCCCTTCATCTCAGAGGGAAAAATTCGAAGTTATGCAAAATACGCAAGGCATCCAAAACTAACTGGTATGACATCATTGGTTTTCGAGAAATATTTGATCATTTTCTGAGAATTGATTATTGTCGAGTCAGCAAAAATACTTAAGCACGTATCAGAAATATAACTCCCTCTTGATTGGTTGTTAACTCAATCACTTAACGAGCGTCATTTGCGTGCTGACATTTTCATTTTGTTCCTGGCGAGTTCATCGAGTGAGCCTAATTTAGAGGTAAGAATTCTAAGTGTACAATCCATGAGAGAATCATTAGCACCTTGGTTTGGGAAATATTCAAATTTTTTAACGAAAATGTTTAACAAACAATTCTTGGATGAGGTTTTTGTGATATCCAGAATAATTAAGGTCGAGGTAGGGGTTATCAGCGTCAGCCTTCGGCTTGGGCTCATAACCCCTACCGAGATGTTGAGTATTATGGATATCACAAAAACTGAAGCTAGTAATTGTTTTATTATACATTGAACAAAAAAAAAAAAAAAGAATGGTCACGACAGTATGAGGAACTGATAATTGATTTATAAACGTATGAAAAAAAAATTTATATAGAGAAATCAGCAAGCAACACAAGGCCCTGAGGAATCATGCACAGCGGTCATACATGAGTGTTCTTGACATGATTATTGAATCCTGCTACATGAAGTCCTAGGTACTTATTTAAAAAAATTCACCATACGCTTCAACAATTATTGTTAGGTGATTCTTTATATTTTGGATTCGATACCATGATATCTTGCTTGGGGATAGTTCAGTTTAAACAGTATGGATGATCTATAGCTCAAATCAAAGGTGACACTAGTTGTTACTTAAACAAATGTTCTCAACTATTAAAATGCTTTCGTAAAATTATTTTTTCTTGCATAACTAGTTGATATCCTTCTTCAATCACAGCGAGAAACTGCAGGGTTTCACTGCTATTTCACTACTTTTCCTCTTGCTGCTCTGAGTCTTTATCAAATATATCATTCTTAATATTTTTCAAACACCATTTAGACCAGACCTTTGAGGTAATGAGAATTCGAAAAATGTTTCGTCAATTCGACCTTATGTAAAACCAAATTCTCATTAGCCACCAGCAAACAAATATGTGGAAATTAGTAAGGAGAATAAGCCCTTAGATCTTGATAGCGAAAGGGCTTAGCCCATATTGAAAACCTGCATGTTTAGTAACTAAGCCGGCCTCTTCTTCTCGGTTCTCGATTTCCATCTTGCTTTCTGTGTCTGGTGGTTGGAAGGAAAAAAGGGAAAATTGTGCTATTGAGAGATATACCCCTTGCATTTACATTTAGTTTATACAAAATTAGAAACAGGGTTTGATTCTTTAGACTTGAGTCAGTATTTTTCAAGGATTATCGGATAGTCCGCGAATAGCAAACTGATAAAAAAGTTGTTGGGCAAGCTTAAGTATGTCCTGTTGTTGAGTACTGGTTTCCTTTCTTTAGGAGCTGGGTACTTTCTGGAAAAATGTGTTAAATATAGCAGATTTTTGAGGCTCTTGTTCGAGTCTGTTTTTGCCTTTATAACTGAAATTATATTTATACTTTTCCTGTTACATTTCCTTCAGTACTGACCAGGAGAATTCGTCTAACAAGCAAAGTTTCTTAGGTAGGCGATCATTTCTTTTATATTTTGGTTATTCTTTAAAGGGTTGATCATGATCGGGCCAAAAATACGAGCGCATTGAAATAGTAAAAAAAAAGAGATATTTCTCCATCTGCTGTGACTTAGCTAAGAGACAGCATATCACACGGTTTACCTTTATCCTCGATGACTAAATCGCCGATGCATTTATTTCCGTCGGCTGCTTCTTTTCATGATCCATCAAGACAATAATATTTTTGTAAAATCCCAACAACTTCTTTTCTGGCAAGGCAATGCACAGACTTGCTTCGGAAAGAAACTTTCATTACGGAAAAATTAACAAATGCAGCGAGCGAAGCATATGCAACACACACAAAACTGCTGACACTTAATTGATGCGTAGGAGCTGATCCATGAAACAGCTTAGCGTGGCAGTCGCCTGCGTAGTCAATGAACCGAAACAAGTTGTTCCGTTTCTAAAATGAACACCGTTTTGTTTTGTTTTCTTCGCTAAGTACACATGGACTCTCAAAAATTTTAAGAATGAAATAGAAGGTTCTCCTCGAATTCCACCTGTCGGGTGTTACGTACAGTTATGACGTGCGAACGTTTGCAGCTAATGCAAAGCACTTGTCTTCGCATGATTAGTTAAAAAGATCCCTTCTATAAATAATTTCATTTGTGGGTAGGACGAATTAAGACTGTTTCCTATGGATTTAAGCAAGGCTTACGCTCGGAATAGATGTAGAAGATTAGAGATGAGTGACCCAAAGGAAAAAACAGAAGAGAGTAAAAAGCTGTCACAAACAACTTTTGATACGACGCAAGAACAATTTAAAACTAGAAATGGGAACAAAAACTCCTCCAGAAACAGGAATAAAATTAGTTCTTAAGACAAACAGCATTATGTGCATGCTTGTCTTTAAAGGCAACAGAAACCCACGCAAGAAACTGACGTAATTATTGCGTTGGATTATTAATTTCTTTTGCCTTATTACCTACTGCTTAGTATCAGTGAAAGGTGTAGCCCTTCCTTTTTTTCCTCCTACGCCAAATTGTTAAGAATCTCCGCATATAAGTTGCTGGAGGCCGTTGCAGTCAGATTAACAAACTGGAAGATGGGATTTGATATTGCTGATGACGTTGTTTTACACTGATAGCTTGGAGAACGGAAGATTTTAATCTATCAATGTCTTCCCCTCGGGTTGACAGTCACTAATACTGATAACAATCCTTTTCGGAACTGCCCTCATTTTGATGCTCACACTACACGTTTCGATAGTTATCGACCGTTGCTTTTCTGTTCCTACTTTTCAATAAATATTCGACTGAGTTACATGTTTGAAGACGAATCTTCGCATATTTTTTCCCCGATGATTTAAGGGGAAAATTTAGTGCGACTTATGTTATAGGTGCCTCAATCGATGTGCTTTGTAACTTTGAAGTAATTTAACATAATCATTAGGAACTTCGAATTTTAAAAAGGCAAATGCTTTTCTTCTAAACCCCAAACCGAAGATAGGCGAGTGAAACTTTTAAACAAGGATCCGGTGACGCAAGAGAACAAAACGTGGGAGAGCGATAAAATTTTTGCTATGTTCGAAACGATAATTGCTTCATAATTGTAATATACGACACGTTTTGTGGTTGTCTGGTATGCCATTGAGTCGTATTAGCAATTGAAGTGCGCACCCACTCATGAATGTCATGAATCCGGCAATGGATAAGTTGTTCGGTCAAATAAAGTAAAGTGCCAAATGAACCGTTGTTGATTCAATGTAAAGTTTATTTTTACCCTTCTCATTGCGAAGCACGGGCTCGCAATATATTCATCATTCCTCAAATCGAAGATTCTTAGAGTTATGTGTGAAAAAGGAAGTTATGGTAATGGACGATAATAAAATCATTAAGGATGTGATCAGGATCTCTAAATTATCAGCAAACATTCTTTGTGTGGCTGGAGACTATGAGTTTACATGCAACTTTGACTTGAACTTTCGAAACTTATCCATTGATCAAACACGTGTTCATTTCCGTAAAATTACAGCCGGAACAACTGAGCTGTGCTGAGTCAGCTAGATAAAACTCTGCCGCACTTGCATCAGATCCACGATTTTAGCAAAATCGCACAACTGCAATATTTAGATATTTCGCCTCATTCTATATATAGAATTTTGAGCATGATGTTATCACCCTGAAAGAGTCCTTTAAAGCATGCAGGTGGACTTTACCCTCTGACCCAAAAAATCCCACCCCACTTCCGGTCAAAAGCGTGACTGAAAGCCGGAAATGCAGTTTTATATTTGCATCTTTGGGTTTCAATCGCTGAAACACTTTTTCTCTTTGTTGTCAGGATTCTGAATAATAATTTCCTTAGCGATATTGATCCAATTTCACCAAGAGGAGATTTGTTGCGGCTACTTTAGAGTTGGAGAGTTTGATGTAGACTTTGAATTCAGACCCTGGTTTAACTTGTCACGCACAATTTGAAAATCTTCCAGTTTATTGATTATTCGTTTAAACACAGCAGATATTACGGATAGGTGTTTCTTTCATCTGTGAACTTTACAGCATCGCTTAGAGTCTGCATGCAATTATATCTTTTCCCCGCCGGATTTGTTTCCCAATCGATGTCCAGTTCTATGGAGTAAGTTGTGGTTGGATATTAAATCAAAGATCAATGATGCTAAAGTATTTTAGAATATCAGAAAGACTTGAACACGTGTCTACTGTAGCTAGAAAAAAAGGGACGTAGACGTTTATACAACTCACGATGCCAAGAATATAGGATTCGTCTGAGATCCTCTTAAACAGTATAGCTGCTATTAAGCAATTAACGTCTCCTCTCAAAGCAGTTAAGATCTTGAGGCAGTTATGAGTTTTCGCGTGATAGTTTGGACTTTTTCGCAGTGTTTTCAAGTGAGAGCGAAAACTTAAGATATTAAAATGACTCTGCAAACATTTAAGAGAAAGTTAAAACATTTCTATGAAGTATAAACTGTGATGTTCGTAACGGCCAAGGTTTCCCGTTTTAGAGAGAACGTAAAATACGACCCTCGCTTTAAAAGTCTTATTGCAAAATCAACAGTGCTCGGAAAAGTACATGCATGTGGACACGAGTGGTTGCTGCTATCTATCATGTGATTGCACCGAGTAATTGATTCTCTGTTTACGTCATATTAGTAACGGTGATGAACCTCTCGTGATGCGAACTTCAGGTATCACAAACAAGTACCTTCGTCATTCGTGTAATTTATTTGCTGATTAGTAGCTTATGCACGTAAGGGATTCTATCAGTGACGTGAATTTTGAAACTGCGAGAAAAATGAAATGTCGAATGAGCTGGATTCCCTAAATGTTGTGTGTCACGCTCACTACCTTTTCAATTCAGCAGTCATTCGTTTTAAATATACCATTCTTCCTGAGTCTCTGCCAACTTGTATCCCTGTCATGTGAGTTTTATTGACGTTGAAACGAACAATGCAATTTAGCCAAATACTATCAAATATACAATTGCGTAAGCAAGAAAAATTATCAACATCATTCGGCGCAGAAAGCCACGTCAAGCTATTTAAAATATTTCGAAACAACTTACGGCGCTGTGACCTTGCACTTGACATAGGTAATCTGACCCAATCGCTTGCGCTGGAACGGCTCGTTTCAGAAGCTGCAACCGTTGCCTATTAACATGAAACCATTAGATTAATATATCTGACGTCCTTCTACGACTGAGATTATGTGATTTAAAGGATATTACATTTGAACTGAAAGGCGCTCAGTTGTGCCTTTGACTTCTATTATGGGAAATCTTCTTCCTTAAAATGAATGGCACTGAATCAAATAAAAGGTGATAACTCAAGCAAATAGTAGAAACTGAAGACCAAGGCTAAATTCAGAGAATCCTTTATTTGAAGTGAAGTTGTTTCACTGCTTGCGTTTCTGCACGTTCCTATCCTTATCTCTTAGTCCAATTGCCGTTTGGTAGGAGGGATTTTACAACGTCAAGTTAAAAAAAAGCACGTAGGTCGGGCTGCACTTGACTCTTTTTGGCAAGATTTAGACGTAAGTATGTAAAGAGATTAGGATGTTGACTAATTATGGCATGACTCGATCTCTGTGTAACGAGCTTACGAAATTACTCCTCAGAATTGAGAATTGCAAACGGCAGTCAGTAGTCTCTAATCTGTTGTAGTCATTATAAGAGCTGCGTCATTCAACAAACTAAATGAAAGGAAATATTTCTGCTGCTAGCCTGAGGACCTCAAAACTGAAAAATTTAGCCTTAGTTTGTAATTTGAAATACAAGTTGGTCTGTTCTTTCGTTTGCCATCTTTAATCACTTCCGGTTCACTGTTCTCATTGCGGTGTTTTATATCTCTTCAAACTAGTATCAAATTTGTTCAAGTTGAAGGTAACAATCTTATGAGAAGTTGTTGCCTTACAGTTTTAAAACAAAGAACCACGACTTCCTATTTCGGAAAGAGAAATTTTTAGCTTGTTCTCTGGTTAATTTTCGGTTCTCCGCGTAAACTTCAGCATAAAAATTACAAAGGCCGTGTTTATGACGTCAGAGGAGTGCTCGCTCTATAAACACAAACTAAAGCGTTACAAAATGCGAAGGCCGTGTTTGGTGACATCTGAAGAGGGGATCAAAAGACGAATTTTTCAATGCGATGATAGCATACTGTCGTCACATACTTGCAGATATAGCGGTTAAAGTTTGGTTTACTTGAACACGTTATCACTGAAGCATGGACCCGAACCAAAAGATTACATGAACATGCTCAGAGATCTTTAGTTCAGTATTTTAACACAGCCGTATTCTTTTGTAAATTTTTGCATGTCTGCTATGGCAAGAAATATGGCAGATACAATTCTGCAGATGTGTGTGTTTTTTTTTAGAGACTGAATTTTGGAAACGTTTCTAATGGCAAAGATTAGTTTTGCGTAAACTTCAGACTGTTCTTTAAGCATGATAGGGAACACGATTTGATTTGTTTGTAAGTGAAAATTGATGCTATGATCGTATATTAAACTGTGGCTCTCTGTGCCACTGTCATAGAAAATTTTGATGGACAGCTTTCATGATCATCAAACAACTGCGGAACAGCATCATGCAACTAGATTAGTTTGTAAGATTGGCTTTGAAATCAATGGTTATTTTCCATTTAATTCAAAATCCATTGCGAAGATGACGGGAATCCTTATTAAAGGACAGCAAGCTGAAGAGCATGAGAAACCGAACGTTTCATTAACTCAAACATGTTCCTGAATGCGTTTATACACTTTGTCCACCGGAAGGAAATTTTAAATTTACTGTAAACCACAAATAGTGCGGCGGAAAAAATGATCTTTGCTCTGTGGTATGCATGTTTTGATGATCGATTTTTCCCCAATACGTGCTGTGCAGTGTTCTGCCCAGAACTGAAGTAAAACTATAATAATGATCAGTTTATTCTGAAGTGCTTTCGAGTGTTAATTAACTCGATAAAAGCTGTTGAAGAAACCTAAAGAAATTTTAAATCACGCCCTCATCTATTAGCCTCGAAAATAAAATGGTATGTTTTCGGTTACGGTCTTATTTTCTAAAACGTTTACTTTGCCGCCTTCGCTGGTTGAAAAGAACTGTTTTTACCACAGAATAACTTCCTGTTTCTAGACGGACAATTTGGAAACTCGTGATCAAAGGACAGGAAATAACAAAACAAAACTGGGCATCAAGGCTCTAAACGTGGGAAAAAAAAAAAAAAACGAATTAAAAGTTTCCTTTACCGCCCACATATTATTGCACACAGAACTAGGCAAGGTCATTTATCGGTATTAACTGGGCAAATTGATCTCGGAATTGAGGTATTGTTAAAGGTTTTTGAGTTCATGTTGACATCTTGATAGTACAGATCTTTTACACCCAGATATGTTGATTTAAGGAAAAAAAAAACCTGTATCTTAGCCTGAAGGAACATTCAAAGGTTGTTATTTAG